TTCTGTCTCATAAAACACAATAATGCTTGCGAACCTACGTGTAAATATTTCTGATGATAATGCTCAGCAATCAGCTTAGTTAGTTTGCATTTAACAGGCAAAATTATTTGATGTTTTTGTGAAAACATTACATTTGCCCCTTGTAATCGGCCTCCTACTCTCATTACATTATTTGCATCCAAAAAAGGGTTCAAAGAAAGTAAATTACTTTTATTATTAATGGGTTTACCTTGTGCGAGGGAGTTGTATTCTGAATAAAAACTACATTTTTGAACCTCTCTTACTAAAAAGGATTCTGCCTCATTTAACTCCTTTGAACTTACTCCTCCTGTTCTTCTCTGTGCTCCTTTCTGTTTTGCACACCTAGAGTTCCAAATGAACCTGAAAATATAACTAACAATACGTAATAATTTTAAATAATTGTTAGTGATATTCTAGGACATTATCAATAAATTTTGAAGGCAAAGTGCATAAACAAGCAATGTCAGTTCTTTTTCTCAGTTCATTAGAAAATGTCTCTGTTTTTTCTAATTGTTCAAAGTCAATGTTCTTGTTAGGTATGATACCTTCCACTCAAGAATGGAGGACCTTTCCACCAGAGATCAGCATCATGCAGCTTGTCAAAATTCAGTCCTCGGGAAATAAGGTCTGCCTGGGTTCTCCTCTGAACGCACATAATTCCACTGGCATGTATGTGTTAGCTCTTGGATCTGCAACACTCGATTAGCAACAAAAGTTTTTAGTACATGCGGAGGATTCTGAAGCCATGCTAACACTATGGTTGAGTCACACCACAGACATATTTTGCTGATGTCCAATTTCAATAAAGGCACCACCTTTGCAACAAGCTGTGCTAGCAGTACAGCTGCGCAGAGTTCCAGTCGAGGTACTGTCAGCGGTTTTAGTGGAGCTACTCTGGACTTGCTGCAAAGCAAATGTGAAGATAAATTATTGTCACTTCTACAGCGTAAATACATGGCTACTCCATATGCGTGTTCTGATGCATCTGAAAATCCATGAATCTGTATCTCAGAAAACCTGTCCTGTAAAACATATCTACTGACTTTCAAATTGTTGATAGATTGCATTGAATCAATAAAAAGTTGCCAATCCTTAATTATCCTTTCGGGTAGCGGATCGTTCCAATCAAGCTTCAATAACCAAAGTCTTTGGATGAAGATTTTTGCTTTTGTTATCCCTGGACCAAGCAGTCCTAATGGATCATAAATGCGAGCAATATCAGACAACACTGTTCTCTTTGTGTAAGTAGTTGGTTTCTTGATGGTTGATTTGTACGAAAAACAATCTATCTTTGGATTCCACAATAATCCTAAAGTTTTGATGCTCTGATCGTCATCGAAATTACTGAAAGAATATTCCTCTTGTCCATCCGGAAACTGCAAAAGATCAGGATGATTAGCACATCATCTGTGCAGACACATTCCTCCACGTGATAATAGGTTAATCAATTGCGACTGTAATTCTTTAGCCTCTATTAGAGTATGGGCTCCTGTGAGTACGTCATCGACATAAAAATCCCTTTGTACTATTTGCGCTGCTAACGAAAAATTATTTTTCTCTCGTCTTCTGCTAATTGATTAAGTGTGCGTGTGTGTTGCTAGATATGGTGCGTTGGAAGTACCGTAAGTTATAGTCTTCAGTCTATAGACCTTAACTGATTCTTCTTCACTACTCTTCCATAAGATGCGTAATAAATCTGTTTGATATTCTTTAATCAAAATCTGACGATACATTTTTACAATGTCTGCTGTGAAGGCAATTTTATGCGTTCGAAATCTGCAAATAATATCAAATAGTTCGTCTTGAACTAACCCTCCATTCAGCAGAATATCGTTTAACGAAATTCCAGTAGTCGTAGGAGCAGTGGCATCGAACACTACCCTAAGTTCAGTGCTAGGTTTCTCGGGACCTGAAAACCCCATGGTGAGGAAGATAATATGAGAAACTAGAGCTATCCCCTTCATCAATTTCTTCGGAATGGCCTAATTCATTATATTCCTTAATGAAATCTTCGTATAAGTGTTTCATTGCGGGATTGCGAGTGAAGCGTTTAAGTAGATAATTCAGTCTTTTGCTAGCGTTTTCTCTCGATTCCCCTAAAAGGCTAAGTCCTTCCTCCTTAATTGGCATTTCCACTACATATCTGCCATCATCTTGCCTCGCGTGTGTACGAAGAAAGTGCTGTTCACAAAATTCCTCTTCCTGACTTTTCACTTTTTTTGCTTCATTAATACCTTCAATCTCCCAAAACCTTCTCATGTTGTCAGATAAATTATCCCCATTTTCCACAAACCCGCAAAAATTATCAACACTGCCTTGCTGCGGCATGCGTACTGACCCGCTAACAATGTATCCAAAAACTGACTGATGGAGAATCAGGTCTTGCATATTTATTCTATTTGTCCCCAGTAAATCAAAAAATATTTCGTTAAATAATAAAACATGTATTTGACCAGGTTTATAAAACTCTGGATCAGCTAAACCAATGAGTTGCAACTGCTTAACATCAGGAATGTTTATATATCTAGCAGGTGTTATGCGAGTTATTTTTGGAACAACAAAAAATTGTAAGGTACGAATAAAATCTCTAGTAGCGTTAGCAATGGTTGCTATAGCTTTTTCCTTAACACCCATAACTGTACCATTGATACCTGAAATAGAAGCGTTTTTATTTTCTTTTCTTCAAATTCAAAAAACTCAGCACCTTCTTTAGTAATGAAATTATTTTGAGAACCGGAATCCAGCAAGGCTCTCAGCGAGATAAATTTTCCATCATTACCCTTAACGAAAATAATTGCAGTTGAAAGTAGAACTTGTTTATTAAAAGAACTGGAAAATATTCAGCGCAGTACCGTTAATGGACTTTGCTTGGTTGGTTTCATTAGTGTCACTAACCTTTTGGCTGCTTGCCATTGGAGTAAATGTATCAGCATTTGGAGAAAGATTACTGCTTAATTTATTAGTCTTGTTTGTGATTTGATTCGATTTGATGTGCCATTTGCTTTATCGAAATTTTCTTCATTTCGATCAAAATGTAAGAGCGAATTGTGAAATTTCTGACATTTTCTGCATGTATTAGAACTTTTACAGTCCTTGATTGTGTGGACCGAAGATAAACAATTGAAACATAGTTTTTTTGTCTTTACAAATTCCAATCGTTTGTTGACTGTTAGATTTAAGAATTGCGCACATTTCAACAATAAATGATCAGCTTTACAATAAGGACAACTTTTTGAATTTTCCGAAAGTGATGTAAGAGCTTTGGTATTAAATGAACGTTTCGATTCTCCATGCGGAGGTTTGTAATGTGATAGGGTGCGAGCGTGTTCCTTCAAAAACCATGTCAGTTGTTAACCGTTCCCATCTCGTCTTTTTTAAGTGACCTTTCCCACCAATACTGAGTATTTCTATCCAACTTTTCAACTAATAAATAAACAATTAACGTGTCTGAAAATTCTTCCACCTTTTGCTCCAATGCTTCCAAGGATCGTAAACATTCATGCACCTTATCGATAAATTTTAAAAGCGACGAAGTAGAATCACTCGTTTGAGGTATAGAAATTAATTTCTTTATGATAGAATTGATCAAATCTTTTTTGTTGCAATAGCGCTCAGCAACCAACAGAATTCCATGCTATGTCATAATTTCGAATCTGAAATTGGAATGGACTGAATAATATTTAAAGCGTCTGCCTTACACGAACTCTTTAAATATTGCAATTTTTGCGCATTAGTTAATTTGCTATTTTTATGCACAGCTGCGGAAAATAAATCCTCAAATTCAATCCATTCTTCGATTTTCCCACTAAATACTGGAAGAGACAATTTAGGCAATTTTATATCCGAAACAATTATGTCTTTACTCGAACCGTTTTCATTTGAGCAGCTATTCCTTTGAGAACGGATCTCGGAAATTTTTCTTTTAATTTTCAAATGAATTTCATCGAGATTATCTACTACATTTTCCTTTTCCTTAATGAATTCATCAGTGTCCTTTTCTTCACAATGTGCAAATAAAGAATCGAAAATGTTACTTAATTCCTTTTTAAATTCTAATATTTTTGATTCGTATAACTCCAATAAGGAAATATCTGCTTCATCCACTGTAGAATTTACCTTATTTTCAAACTTTCTGATACTGCATTTTAAACTTTTTTTGTTAGCTTTAATCGCTTTCAATTCACTCATCATGAACAAATAAATAATTTATCACTTACCGTGATTGCAGATTTCTCGACAGCAACACCGGAAATGAACGATGACGGTATTCAATCTTAATTGCGTAATCCACACAAAAACGAAAGCATTCCAAACACTCTGTATGAAGTTATCCATAATACAACCAAACGAAAGTATTACAAATGTTCTAAAAAGTTAATTTTAGCAACGATATCTTTTACCTCCGGCTCGACGGACCATAAAGTGTTCATGCGATGCGTGCGTTGTTATACAACAATTTCAAATTAACTAGAAGTGGACTGTACTAAATATTTTATTCAACAACTTTAATCAAATGCGTGCCATCTTTCAAGCGATGACTTACTACTAATAACAACAGCAATAAAAAAAAAACTGAGTAAGCGTTTACAGGGTTGCTGTAATGAACATCTGCGCCATGCAAGGTGCCAAGAAGAGAAAAAATGACGTAATCTTACAGTTAAATAGTCTTAATGACTTAACATGATGAATTAAATTTTGATTGAAGTTTTCCCCCTGCAGCGATCGGGAGTGGTGGTGCTCTCTCGGATTAGTTCAGTTCTGAAACCTTGAAAGGGAGGTCTCGAAACTTCCAGAGCAGAGGCTGTGTTTTGGTGTCTTTGTGTATGATTAGTTTTAATAATTAAACATAAATAACAATATTATTCATAAAACTTTATTCCTTCCTGTCTTTTATAATTAATAGTTTTATAATATAATAAATGTAGCTAGCATTATCTGTTTTATAAATTTAAGAAGAAATTTTTATTTATGTTCTAAAGTTTGAGGGAGAAGAAATTTCAGCATTCTTGCTTGCTGAAGATGATGAAACATTTATAACAGCTGCTCAGAATGGGATCATGAGGCACTGGCTTTTATCAGCGAAGCATATTCAAAAGACATGGAAGGTAAATTAAGGTATCTTTGGTCTTTAGATTTATTTGTTTTAAAAATTGGAAAGGAAATTAGTTTTAAAAATTGGTTCTGCTAAAAATTCTTTTAAAATGTATATTTGTCCTCTAATTTCACTTACTTTAATTAATTTTTTACATATTTTCTAATGCATTGCAACATTATCTTAATTTAATGCATTTTTCCCTTTAATATATCAGTGTAGGTTATCAAGAGCAAACTCCTGCTATGTTGAATTTATATTTGTCATTGATGTTGTGACTGGTAGATCCCTGATATTGCAATCAACAGCTAAAAATATTTCTTAGATTTGAGTTTCATTTTGCAAACACTAGTGGCTAAAACTGAGGACACGTTTTGGAGTTTTTAAGGTTTGATGGCTTATAATGTCATGTTTTTTTTTAGTAATACCATAAAATTGTATAGCATTGGAAAAATAATTTAATCAGGAATACTGCAGTAACATGTGTGAAAGATATTTTTATTTGAACAATAATTGTAAAGAAGAAAAATTGTACTTAAAGAAAATGAAATCTGCAAATTTTTTTATGATAGCAGTTAATACATAATTAAGATGCAATAACACGCCGAACAAATACCAATTCAGAAGACAAACAACAAAAATCAGCGTTATTTGATATATAATTTTGTAGATATAACGCTGATTTTTGTTGTTTGTCTTCTGAATTGGTAGTTAATACATAGTTGGGTAACCTTTAGCATCACAGTCTTACAATGGGCTTACCAGTGGCTAAGCAGTAAAGTTGGTGAACACTAGCAGTTGGTCTGGTGTTCAAATGCTGGGGAACGGGCTGGCTGCATGGTGTTTTCATGGTTTTCACGTGTGTAATGTGTATATGAGCCAATTTATGTTAGGAATTCCTCCATGAATGCATCCCTTCCCTTAAGCAGATAGCCTTCGAGTGCTTTGCCGTAATTAAATAAACCAAGCCAAACAATCTTATAACATTTTTCTAGGAAGCAAACCAAGTTTTTTTTTTTTTAGCCCAGAAGGGCTATTAATTTCATTTTGGTGTTTAGCATTTAAAACTTTAAATGCCGTTAAATATTTATACTGGTTGCAATAATCTTTTTCACAAGCATATTACTCTCTCCTGATAGTATAACAATAAATTTTAAAAATTTTAATATGATCAATCTTAGCTTCATTTGCGCTAGATTTTTCACACTAAAAGTTCTAAATTTTTAGCCCAAAAAGGCTATTAATGTCGTTTTGGCATTTTGCGTTGGTTCACAATAAATATCGTTTCACTTTTCAAATTGTTGCCACCATAAATTAACGCCTTGTGTTATATTTAAAGAAATAACATAATGAAGAATCTGCATAAACGTATATATTTCTCGCATGTGGGTAAAACAACGGTACCTAGAGCCATCCAATTTTGAATCATGTAATCTTGCCACCAAATATGGGCATCTGGAAGCCCGAATTTGGAATTTGAAATTTGTTTTATTATCGATTTCATATTTTATAACTCTTTAACAAATGTTTTTGATTAAGAAACTCAACGATTTCAAAGCGAGCAATGGAAATTTTGTACGGGGAAAAAAAAAAAACATTTTTATCGCTAGTGCGCGAGACTGTGTATTGGAAATTCTAAAGATATGCTCATGTGATATTGCTGTTGAATTGAATTTTATGGTTTAAGTGCAAAGAACCTGATATTTAATAAATAAAGGTAACACACAAAATGTTAAGAAAACACCCCTTTGGGCATAATATAAAATCTGAAAGCTTTCAGTTTCTTTTTTTGTCTATTACATCATTTTAGATTTATTAGGGTGGTGTTTCTAAATTTTGGGTTTTATTGCTTTGTAGTATTTATTATGTAAAACTTAAAATCATAATTAATACATGAAATGAAAGAGCAACTCAAACAGTTCTTTTGTTGTTATGCAAATGCACCAGAAAGCACTAGTCACAAAAATGATGACTAGCGAACAGAAAGCTTTTCATGTTCTGCTGTTTTCAAAGACTGACTCTGTAGTTATTGCATAATGTGTGTTCTGGATTAAGTTCAGATGTGATCCCCCAAAAGATAACAACATCTGTAGATGATAGCATCAGTTTGGCTGCCTTTGCAAATGGAAGAGTACGGACCGACCAAGGGTTAGTGAAGAAAGTGCTGAGTTCATAAAGGATCATGTGAGTTAGTTCATAAGGGATCTTGTGTATGTGTCTTCACTACCAGTTGACCTACCCGACCTAAGAAACAGGATTGAGGCTGTTACAACAATTATACCACAAACACTAATCAACATTTAGGAAGAACTGGGCTGTTGATTTGATGTGTGTCGTGTGTTTAAAGGTGCTCACATTGAACACTTGTAAGCTTGTAGGTATAACTGTTTGAGTTGCTCTTTCATTTCATGTATTATAATCTATTAATTATAATTTTAAGTTTTATGTATTAAATACTACAATTCACTAAAGCCTCGATATTCATTTAGAGACAGCCTGTATTTGAATAGAACATGGGGCAATGATTAGATAATTCTTCAGATGATATAATTTTTTTGCAGTCTGAGTTATAAAATGAATGAGATGTAACATGGTTAAGTGAACTAAGCGCCAGAGTATTGCTAGGTAAATAAATATAGTGAATTTTAGAAAGCACATTTATTCTATTGTGGTTTATGTGCTATTGATGATGATTCCACCCGTTAGGTATTGTTAACTTGAAATTACCCTACACATACAAGCAATGTGACATGAAACTAAATCCCACTGAAATAGTTTTTTTTTTATTTTTTAAAACTGATGCTACTTAGTGCCATCTGTAGTTTAATCTATCATCTGAAATGCCTCCAAATTAGGTAGGAAAGATAATGACAACAAGGGAAAAAGATTCCATGAAAAAAAGATTAGTTTCTTCACTGATAGGGGAAGATGTGGCACTGTTATAAACAGACAAATGAATTATTGGACAAATGAATAGCAAAGAAGAAATTTCTGTGCAGCACAGCTGTAATGCGGCAAATGAACTGCCTGAAAATGTTACAAAAATGGTATTTTAGTGCACCATAGCACATTATTCAATAAAAACACTTCCTTGGCAAGGGAATAGAGCTCTTCCTTTATCTACCCTTTTTGTACACAAACATTGCATCTTGTACACAACATTCTCAAAGGCGGAATGTAACATTACACCAAGAATGCTCAGCACAGCCAACATCATCCTGAAAAGGCCAGAGCACAAATGGCTGACTGGTCAATGATTTCATGATTAGAAATGATCAGGAAAGTGTCTCGCACAAACTAAAACCAATACTCCACCAATTATTCTATAATTTGCTCATTTTTACTGTGCTTTTACTTTCTAAATTTGAATTCTGCCTTGTATTTAGAGCTTAATTTTATATCACAATTTCTGAAAACTTGTGAAAAAAGAGCCCCTCTTCACATAATTCTGCACAGCTAAACATCATCGACTGCCATCCTTCCAAGAAATGTCACAGCAAGTGCCATTGGTTTTTCATAGTAGTTATGTTTTAGTCCCTGAATGCAGTTAATCTTATATGGGTAGAAATGTAGAACTTTCCGTAAGACATTCCATTCCATTGAAAGATTTAAATTCAATTGTCATACTACTCCCTAAGTGCTGCTACTACCAGCAGCGGGCTCATGAGTGTGGCCAACAGTTGCAGTTACAGCATCAGTAACTAACTATCTGTTCTAACACCAGTTTCTGCCCTCTACCAGATCAAACAGGTAAGTATCATGTTTCTGCAAAGTTCTGTATTCTTTCAAGGCATTAATTGATAGAGAGCTTTTGTGTACGTTGTTATGACTTTCAAACTCACAAAGAGCAGTGACTGCATTTGATTGGTGAATGCAAAACAACTTCACAAGTAACATTCACTGAGGTAAAGTGAGATAAGTGTTAAACCCAGCTAACATTCAGAATGTTCTTCAGTTTTTTTCTCCTTAGCTTCATAGGCTGAATTATTAGTAGTGCTGTTGTTTGCATGACCATGTATTTGAATTTTCAAATTTTACCTGTGTTTCATTGCTGATTTTCAGCTGTGTAGTCTACAACTGTGCCCCCCCCCACAAATTGCTGACTTTTGGAACTAATGTTTTTAATGCAGTCCCCATCCGCATGTCATCATTATTCCCATACGAAATTTCATAGCATTCCGACTGATAGATCAAGCTACAGATGGTTCTGAATAGTGCCAATTAAAAAAAAAAAAAAAAAAAAAAGAACTATATAAATACTTTGTTATCTTGGAAATGATCACATATAGAAGGCTTCACTTTGGACTCAAGTTTTTTATTCACATTTTTGGGGTATCTATGTTCCCATTAATCATGCAAATTCTCCCCATACCACCCCTACAACCTCAGATCATAACACTAACTGGGTGTTTCATGATAGGTATAATGCAACCAGAATATAAATATTCTCTGATTTTTCTCTTTATTTACTTTATGCTGTCACCACCAGAGACTAAGATTTTGATTTTATCTTCTAAATAACAGCATTCTGTTATTCTACTCTTCAGGTAACATAGCTTGTAACCTAGTTTATCTTTTAATGCTTTGTTTTGGAGATAAAAGAGACTTTTTTCTTTCAATTGTAGCATTTTATTCAACTTTCTGTGATCTGTGCCAGAGAGTTTTAGTACTCAACTTCACATTGTATTGAGCATTTTTCTTCTCATATACAGTCAGATGATTTTCTGTTATCACCTAGGCACAGACTGCTAATTCTTTTTATAAGAACCTGGAAATGTGCATCTTTTTTACTTCCTTGTACTAAGTAAAGGAAGTATTGTAATTGCGAAAAATTTTGGATATCATATTTCAAAGAAAATATCTATTTAGACCGCTTCTGAATCAATTTGAACGATGTTTTTTGTGTGATATCTGCATGTATGCATAGAATAAACGATTCTTTTTTCTCAAAATGGATTTGAAATGGATTCAGTAAAGATTTTTTCGTAACATCTGTATGCACATATAGTTCAAAAGTGAATAACTTGAAAACATTGCAGTTTAGTATATGGAATCACTATAACATCTAGTTGTGCATTTCTCTTTGATTGCAATCAGCAGCACCAAAAGTATATACAGTCAAAAGTCGTTAATCTGGACCCGTCGGGACTTCGGCGATTCCGGATTATCGATTTTTCTGGATTATAGATCATAAGTTTAAATCTCGTAACATGGCATACAGAAATTCTAAAATTAAAAATATGAAACCGTAATTTATGAAATAAAGAACAATTATGATCTAAAGGGTATCAAAATTTACAAAAAAAAAAAAAAAAAAAAAAAAAAAAAAAGCTTAATATTTATTTGTTTACTTTATTAAACATTTCTTTCAATGTAAGTTGTTTAAGTTGCTTTGTTTTATGTGATAATTACTTTCTCTTTAATTCTATAAACAGACATAATTTCTTGTTCAGTTACAAAGTTCCGCTGTTCAAGTCCCGTAATTGCTGTGCCGAGAATATCGACTAACTTGTCAATCGAAATTTTTTCGTTTTCACTAACCTCTCTGTCACCATTCTTCATGTCTTTATCCATTTTTTTTGCAGCAATTCCACTTTTGTTTGTGGACATCAAAACATACTTTCGTTTTGTAGATCCTTTGGAGCTCCAGAATCGGAAATTCTATTTGACATAATCAAAAGTTAAAGTTTACTTTTATAAAATGCTCTTACAGTCTGCAAAAAAGTAATAAGCGGATCCAATTCGAAGATTAAGGAACAAACACAATCATCAACATTAACTGAAAATAGATAATTTTAGCTTTATACCGTCCGTTATACATTAAACGTGCACACAAAAGTATTTGCACTTGCGCACACGCATATGCGCAGTGTTAAAGGTCTTACGCGCACGCGTAAACGCCTATGCGCATGTGTCAAAGCCGCGCCATGCGCAGAAGAAAGTTTTAGCTTTGAGGGTCTGGATGATAGATCATTCCGGATTATGGGTGTTCGAATTAACGACTTTTGACTGTATGTATGTATATATATATATATATATATTATATACTTACAGTCTGTTACCTGGCTGGGTGGGCTCAGTTTTTTTTTTTTTTAATTCTTACATGTTGGTAAATAGTTTATTTTTTTGCTTTAAAAGTGATTGAATTATGTTGTTGAATTATGTTCCAGTTAAGGTTTTTATGGCTTTAGTTAATATGCAACTGTAGAATTATCAACAGTTTAAAAATTGTTTAAGTGCTATTAAGCCTAACAAAGCAAATATCTGTTTACATTTGAAACTCTTAGTCGAATAGTGAATAAGTCAAACTTTCAGTTTTGTGCACTGAAAAATCTGCCTTCTTGCCGGCTGGCCGAATTGCTTGTTTTTACATAGAAAATGTAATTTTAATTGTAAAAAATTTTTTTAACTGTTTTAACCATATGTGGTATTTTATGTTTTTCCATATTTTACAATTTTTTATGAAGATGTTTTGAGTTTTTATGTATTTTTGCCTTGCCGCAAAGGGAGAACTGAATTAATTGAATGAGAAATATATCTCTGAGGAAATAAGCTTAAATGAAATTCAGCAAAATATGTGTATAATTTAATAGGCAGTACAAGGAAATCATCTACATCAGGTTTTTTTGCTTTTAATGGTCTGGTTTTGTAGTGACTGACTCCAAAATATGCCATCTTTGCTCAAACTTCCACCAGTTTTCCTTTTAATCTCTTGAGAACTGTAGCCTTGGTTAACTTTCTATGTGATCATTCAATGGTTTGTGCCATTTCTTAATAAATTAAGGAACATGCTTACATACATGCAAGATGTTTTTCTCTAAGCTGCAATATATGACGTATGACCTGATTGTCTCATTGCCGAAACAAGATGCCTCTTGATAACCTCACCCTTATCCAAATGTGTGCAACATTCAGTGCCACATGTTGTGAAATTTATTCTTTCACATGTGTACTACTTGATAACTGATCAACAAAGTTTTTCTTGCTTTAAATTACTTCCTAATTAAAAAAAAAATTAAATGTCTTAAGTTCGCCTAAATTTCCCCCCCTTCATAATTATTCTGGCTGCTAATTTAGAATTCTAAATAAATTTTAATGTCCAGTTTTTAATGATTAGTAATAATTCCTGCAGACGGCAGCATTTATTTCAAATTTTTTGGCATTTCATTGGGATTCAAAATTTATCTATTTGTAAAACTTTCATATTTGCAGTAATTTCTAATCTTTGAGATGATGTAGAGATAAAGGTTTTATGCTGGAAACCCTGTAATAACCACATTGTTGATCACTGATGCCTCATTGGCTCTCTAAACATGTATTCTCTTTGGCTGCATTCAGATGAATTAAAACTATTTCACGTTCTGATAAAGAAATTGTGCTTTTTTTTTCTTTTTCTTACTTAGCTATTACTTTTGATAAAATACAGATAACTGAATAAACTTTAAAGCATTATATTCTTGATTAAATTACCTTTCTAGTGATGTATGAATTCAGGGTATTGGTCCAAAATAATGCTATGAACTATCAAACCTCAAAAATAAACTTTTTCCAAATATTTCCACAATTTTGACCGCTAATATATGATATTACCATAATGTTAATTGTTATTATCCATGAAGTTTACAGAGTTTTGGAATCCATTATATTAAGAGTAGGTTTATAAATAATGTCGGTTAAAAAAATGCATGCTGTTAAAAAGGCAATATCTGTATTGTGTTGGGTTTTCTTCTCTGTCATTGTTTTTTTCTGAATTATTTCAAATTTAAAAATGTAAATATTTTTTTCCTTGTCTTATAAATTGATGAAAAAAAATCTTTCTAGTACAGAGTGCGGCAGCGTTCATAGTATGATATTAAAAACACACCATAAGGCAGTAACTATAATTTATTTATTACCTCTTATGTCAATTAATAGTTAAAGGTATGCCATTTACTAATGTGTAAGTCATTGTCCATTGCGTGGATTACTTTTTGAATATGATGCCTGTCAAATGATGGCCCCTCTGCGCAACACATTCATCTAGGCGGTGTTGGAAGCTTGCCATAACTCGGCGTAACGTATTCCCTGGGGACATTGCTGACGGCAGTTCTGATGCGATCCTTCAACTCAGGAATGGTGCACAACGTGTTCAGAAAACTTCTTGCTTCAGGTGGCCCCAAAGGAAAACTTCTGCACATGAAAGATCAGGTGAGTGAGGTGGCCAGGAAATGTCACCAAAATGGGAAATTACTCTACCTGGAAATGTCTGTTGCAATGGTCCATCCATCTAGAACTTTCCCTTAGACGTTCCAAGTTGAAATGTTGCCAAAATAGACTCTGGATAGCAATAACAGAGTAGTTATTCTTGAAATAACTTTCAACAGCAAAAGCACACTCGAAATGGCAGCTCATTAGTACATGAATGCGGTACGAGCTGGCGCACATTCGTGCAGTATGTCATTGTACTACACAAGTCAAATTACGCTATGAATGCTGCCACACCCTGTATATACCAGACTGTGATTATTCATGTGTTGTATTTTTATTGTGTTAGAAATATACAACTTAGACATTTTTAGTCTTTGCACACTGGTCCTGTCTCTTGTATGGCCTTTGATTCAACTACAACGTTGCTTGCAACTGGGGGTTCTGATTCAACTGTTAAAATATGGGACATAATTAGAAAATACTATACTCACAATTTAAAAGGTGGCAAGGGTGTCTATAGGTATGTTTATTTTTACACCATCTATAATATTTATTTTCAGAGTATATAACCTCTTTGCTCATTTTTCACATGATGTTGTTACAGTTATGTACTTCCGAGTAGGTAGTATATTAAACTGAAGAAATTTAAATCTGCAATTTATTGGAAAATTATTGTAATAAAATATGTTTGTAAATTTTTGAATCCTTGATAGTTACTGTTGCACATATAATAAACAAATTCATCACGAATCAATGAATTTTGCACACGGAAAAAAAAAAAAAAAAAAAAAAAAAAAAAGAGGATAGTTACCGTCTAAGTAAGATTTTTTAAAAACTACCCCATGAGGTCCACATTCTTTATGTACATAGATTTTATGTTAATTTAATGAACTTTTGATTAAAAAAATCAGCGAATTTAAAAGTTTTATATTGCCACTCTGCAAAGCATGAGATATTATTTATGTTTCGAATTTAATTAGAAAACTCAGCGATATAAAAAATGGGCTGCCTTTTGAGAAAATGCAATATATTTATTTGTCTTTCAAATTTGATAAACAAACTGAGTAATTTAAGAGTGTTGCCATTTCCCGAAATAATATATTTTTATCTCTTAAGCGGCATTGTGCTGTGGTTCAGCAAAGTATAAGATATTTAATATTTCTTTTGAATTTATTATGTTACTAATTAACAAAGTGAGTAATTTTAAACAATAAATATAGATTCTTTTCGGTTATTATTAATAACTAGCTGGACCCATGACATTACATTAACTGTATTCATGAAAATCATCAATATATGTAAAGAAAAATACCCGTTTGTTTGTATACTGTAAATTGCAATACACACACTCAAACAACCATAGAAGTAAAACTGCACATTTTATAGAAATCTATAGTTATATTCTAATCTTGATGAAATTTTGCACACTTGACGTCCAAAATAAGAGGAAAGTTGCTACATAAGATTTCAAAAAACTACTCCACAGAGACTCCTCTTTCTGGTCGTTCACATTAGAGCGTTGTGTTCGTGACATCCATCTGGGATAGTACCAGTACCCTTTTTAATTCAACATTGCTGTTGTTGCATTACTTCTATCATTGGAAGTCATACATTTACATACATACATACAAGGAATTTGTAATTGTTTTTTAACAAAGGAATTTATAATAATTTTTACATATTTTCAATTTTGAAATCATGCCACCTATCTTATGTTCAAACTGCCATTGTTCTGTTCCCGGTATCAGTTCCTACTAAAATTATTAAATGGCTTATGTTTGTTTACTATTTAACACAAAATAGAATCTCTAAGGTAGAATTTCAGTGCATGCTGTATCAGTGCCTTTGAGACATTTTTAGTTTTTTTTTTAAATAAATTAAATTCTTCATTACAAGGCAACAATGTACCTGCATTTAAAGTGCAAGAAAAAAATAAAATTTCAGTTTTTGGATACTTCATGTGGACGAAAGAAACTGTAATGCTTTTATGAAGCTAACTAAAGTGCAAACAGAATACAACTAGATTTGTACCTGATAAAATTTCATTTGCTATCAAGGAAGAATATTTTACTTCATTTTATAGCAGCAAGGCATGGTAAAGAAGCCTTTTCACATTAATACAAAATCAGAGATAGAATTATCAAATTCAGATATTGAATCCATAATGGAATTGTTATGTGATACAGCACTTAATAATAGCTCCAACAAAATACCATTGATATAGTTTTTGGACTAGGCAATTGGGTCTCAAATGCCTTTTGTTACACCTTGCAAATAAGAAACACACTTACTTACACTTTTTTTTTTTCTGTAAAATAAGTACAGAAACTTATTAGATGTTGAGCCAGATTTAAGAATAAAGTTATCTGCTTTTTCTATAGACCTGGAAATTCTAATTAACAAGAAAAGCATCACACTTCCCATTAAAACTTTTTTATTACTTTATATTTTTAATATGTATTTTTGTTGCTTTCACAATAAAGGAAAAATATTTTAACATTAAAATTTGATTAATTTACCAATAAGCCATACACATTTTACTGGATCAGGAAGGATAAATATTAAAACAACTGAGTTTACTCTCTTCCCCCCAGAAAAGTTTGGTAAACCTTGATTTGGCAAACAGTAGCATTTTGTACTTTTTGCTGAATGTAGATCAAGTTCAGCTCCTTGAGGCAATTATTAAGGCAATTTTTATGGACTATCTATGTATTTAGTTTCAAAGAATATCTTCACAATGAATTTAAGCATGAACGCATTATAGAAATTATATTTTGGTAATATTACATTTTGCTGTTAAACTTTTTATATAAGTGAGCAAGTAATGTATTCAAGTACACTTGGTATTAATTCAGTCCTGGCAGCATTCATCTGCTTATTTAAGACATCCTGTATCTGTTTTATGTTGTTATCTGAAAAAGTGTAAATGGCACGATCATACAGAATCTCATTAACCCCTTGGGTACATTTGATGTCTGACACATGTCATTCACTTTTTTTCCCCTAGGAGCGGATGACGTGTCTAAGACGTCAAACCAAAAATTAAACTCTTGGGTACATTTGACGTCTGGGAGACGTCATTCACTTATTTTCCCTAGGGGCGGATGATTCACATATTTAGCACGAAATATTCAAATGCTGATTTGATAAACACATGCAAAAGGAGAAAAAATGAAGGTGGTGATAGCGAAAATAGTATAAAACCGGCATTTGTGCTTGAGTATAATAAAGGTATGGGAGGCGTTGATAAACAAGACCAATTGCTAGCGTGCTTCCCAGTTATGAGAAAATGTGTAAAGGGTTATAAGAAAATGTTTTTTTTATCTAATAGATATGGCCTTTTATAATACTATTCTTTTATAATACTATTTTATATTCTAAAATAAATTGTACAACCAAGGCAGGCATTACTTCCTTTCGCTTAGCTATTGCCGCAGAATTGCTGGAGCAATGTCATATACTTAAGGTTTATGTAGAGCCGGCTCTAGATACTGCCTGATGCAGTCTCTACGGGTCCTAAATTCTAGTACAAAGCGCCTCCCTAAGTTCTAAATTTTTGCCGCCCCTAAACTTTGGACCCCAGTGCTTTCCCTAAACTATAAAAAGTATGACGTCCCTTAATTTTGCTGCTTAATGCTTCTCCAAATTCTAAAAATTTTGTCTTCCCTAAATTATGCTCCCTGGTGTGGCCATATGAGCAATTCTGGGTTTTGTGCTAAACCCAGAATCCCCATATCAGTTATTCATAATTCAAATAGCACTAAGTGTGATCTTTTGTCCTATGAGTTTCAGTAACAAAATCTATTTTTAGCATATGAAAATAAATTTTTGTTTAAATTTTTTGCGTCAGCTTTTCTTAGTGCATTTAATTTATCAACAAGTGTAATGCAAGCATAAAAGTTTGTCGTACTCTTGTTATTCAGGGGAAAAAAAATGCATGAGTCATTACTCAAGTTGTCATGTATTGATAAACATGCGGTGGTGAAAGCAAAATATAATAAATAATGATGCCAGCTCGGCGTCAGGAATATAAAATACTAGTAGGTGTAAAATTAGTGATTTAACATCACTGATTTGAATTGGATTTAGAATGTTTCGGTTTGAGATGTATGCCAAGCAGATATGCAGCTATGGAGCCATGCAAATTATGCTTAAATGATTGTTTCTTCAATAACGAGGTATTTTATTTAGTGCCTAAGTGAAATTAAGAATCAGGACTCTCCATATGTTTTATTGCAGGAGGAAAAATCAAATACACATAGGTAAAGCATGCAAACAAACAAAAACAAAAACAAACAAACAAAAAAGTTACTTTGTGGTTCGAATTTTAGATCATCCCGGATATTGGAGGTCCAGATCTCAGACTTTGTAGTGTATTCTTTTAATGGATACAACTAGCTCATTATCCAAGAACCTCTATGATATGTTATAGTGTATTCATACTTTTGACTAGTATTTTTAAACAGATTAATTAACCTTTTAACTGTCATGCTCGAAATAACCTCGGGCACAGCACTGGTATTCCAAAATGTCAAGCCCGAACATTACTCGGGCTAATTTTTTTTTGAGTGCATCGTATTGTTATACCCGAATATATATCGTGAGAAGTTTATTTCGGCTTCAATTCAACAGATGGCAGGACTTTACTGAAGGTTTCAAAGGATAGAGGTTAAAGTTCAAACAGCACAGCTTTTTTTTTTTTTCTTGATTGCGAGGCAAACTTTCATTTTTGGAATTTAAAAAAAAAAACTGACAATTTATGCATCCAAATCATCAAAATAACTTGACAGTTAAAAGAAACATCTAACCTCTTTAAAGTCACAATTTTTGATTGTATTAATTTTGCCTGAGGTAAACTTAGCATCCAAAGCATCCAAAGCTAGAAATGTAAGATGTATATTTAGATTTTACATTCATATATGTGTATATATATATATATATATATTGATGTTTTTAATGTCTTGTATTTTATTTTTCCAATTTTTTTCAGCAAAATTTGTTTCAAAAAAATTGGTTCGGAATTGCATTTGCTTGGGGCTGCTGATGATTATCAGATACATGTGTGGAATTTGAATTCAAGTGATCTAGTAACATCTTTGGAAGGTCATTATAGTACTGTAACTGATCTTGTTTTTACTGGAAAACAGAATAATATGCTCAGGTAATTCATTAATATTATTGTGTAATATTTGCAGTATATTTTTATTAGTTTATATAAGAGAGTTTTGCGAAACATTAAATAATTCTAAGAAAAAAAATTATTTTAATGGTATGATGTCCACGATTTACTGAAAATCACAATGTATCTGAAACCAGTTAAAAAGACACAGGAGAGATGAATAATCTCTCTTATAGTAAACAGAAAAGTCCTGTTAACAACTTACCTGCATTTTTGAGCAGTTTAATCTGCAGAATGACTTAATTTATTTGTTTTTGTAAATTAATTCCAAGTTGTTTGTCTCTCTCTCTCTTGAACATGTGGATGCAAATGTTTTTACTATTTGTTCCTTTCCATATCGATGTTTCTTTTTTACTTCATTGTGCATTTTCTGTTTTCTTTTGTAGTACTCATCTTATTTTGATAGACTCGATGTGATACAAAGATAGGCTTTACATTTGATTTATTTTTAAGATTGAGCAATTTACTTGTAACAGATAATTTAATCATATTTATATATTCCTGATTATGCATAATTAAATTAATTATTATTATGGATGAAGTGCTCCCCAAACGGTAACCTTGTATTTTGCCTTACTGTAAAGGCCCGTCTACATGAAGTGATTTTCTCGGCTGACTTTCTTGCAGAGCAACAATTTTAAGGATCTGCGCATGCGCCAAAAATCTGTCATATTCTCTGCCATGCGATTTCAGAACTGGTGTTCACTGCTCATTAGCGTACGATAAAATCGGAGTGTCTAGACAATAAGATTGCTTTGAGTGATCACGTGCTTTTCTCCTCATTTGGAATAATAAAAATGACTGCATTTCGTTGGAGCGAAACTCAAATTTTTCAATTAATAGATGTCTATAGAGAAAAATGTTGTGTTGTGGGACACGAGTAATGTAAATTTTAAAAATAAAAAATTAAGGGATTTTCTTATTTCGGTAAGCTTTGTCTTCCCCATTACTTTATATATTCAAATATTTTCTATTCGGGACGAAAATTACTTTAACTCCCCCAAGAAAAGTTCCAAAAACTATTAATGATGCCATGTTATGGGTACTAGATGAAAATATTTAGAAACTACTTGAAACTGTGGTCGCACTTATTGAAAAAATTCAGAAAGCAAAATCTCCAGTCGAGAAATTACGGACCGATTTAAAGCAGCACAGAGACTCATTGACTTTGCCGAAAATGGGAGTTAATCAGGTGATGAAGTACATAACTTTTCCGACATCTCCTATACGAGCAATCATAGCTCAGTGGTAAGGAGCAGAGCAGGTTTTCTTCGTACATCGAGATCCTGGGTTCGATCCCCCACCTTAATTCTGGACTTTTTACGCCTGGAAGAACTTTTAATTTAGTTTCTCCATCACTAAATTCGAACTGCATGACTTAAAAGTTACTTTTTATTTTTTTGCCTACTGGTGTGGTGTTTATTGAATTTTAACGCCTTTCTTTTTATTTTTTCGAATGGCTGTTGGCACATGTTTTAGATCTACTGGTCAAAAGAAAGTCACAAGTCACGAACTAAGTTTTGTGTTAATTGCAAAAACAAATTACAACCCAATTTAATACAATATTGCTAAATTTTATTAGCTGATTAACTGATAGAGTCATATCAGTTATATAATTATGCTGATATTAGTTTTTTAATGTTCAATAAATATACTACTTAAAACTTTGCACCTTTATGATATTTCTTATTTGAAATTTTTGCACTGAAATTACACTGTTGCTTTGGCAATGTAGTAATCTTTATTCTTTATTACTACTCTTTACTCATACTGGTTTGATATTCATGTCATTATTGTCTATTTAGTCATTAATAAAGGTTTTGATTTAAAGCACAGTAGTTACTTATTTTTTCTGAAACATGGCTATTTTATTATTTCAAGATTTAAGTGCACAAATAGGAGTGCCAGAAAATGAAATAAAAAAATAAATAAATAAAATAAAAAAAGGAGTAATCTGTGTACTCAGTAAACAAAGGGAAAGCATATTTAAAAAAAAAAAAAAATTACTGCAAACTAAATTTAGCAAAAAATCAAAATCACACGGCATCATCCGTAAATACTTTCTGAATTATCAAAACCGTGAAAAACAACCTTATATTTAGCGTAGGTATAATGAAACACTCAATCGATTTCGAGGGCAGCTAAAGGTCCCTCCTCATCAGGAGAAAGAAATACATAGAAAGAAGAAAATAGGAATCACAGAAACACGTGGTGCTTATCAGCACTGCACGTCGTTATAACTAGATTTTTAATCAGAGTTGCACTGGCCGCCTACTTTTACTGAGCCAGGCTGTCTGATCAAGCATAAAGAAATATTAGCGAAGTTAAAATGTAGGGAGCGAGGGGCAAATGCACATTACGCTCAAAATCTGAACTTCAAATAATGGAAAGCAACCACTGAACGGATTTTTATACCCTCTGGTAGTACCAAGTGCGAGGAGGTAACGTCATCTATCGGCAAAAATAATTGAATTAAGACAGTAGAATTTTAAAGGCATTAGGAAGGACTGGATTGGGAATTCAAATCATTAACTAAACTTTCTAAATCTTTGTGAATGTGAAAAGCCTCAAGAAAATCCAATTCGCCTATGGAAGAAGCCTTTTGGATGATTTTTGCAGACCCAAAATCAAAATTATGGTTAAAAGTCCAGCTATGATACGCTATTGAAGACTTGTTAATTTCCCCTTTTTTGACATAAGATTCATGTTCCTTGATACGAAACTTCAACGCTCTTTTTGTTTGGCCAATACATCTTAAACCACACTGACATGATATACTATAAATTCCCCAAGAATTCAAGACAGAAACGCAATCTTTTAGAATCGAAGGGTGGAATTTTATTAATAGGGAGAAACCGACTTGAAAATTGAATTTCTGGAGAATCCGTGCAATTTTATAGCTAACAGAAGGATAAAATGGAAGCACGAGAAGGTCATTGATATTATTTCTAACAGTGGAATGTCTTCTTTGATGGGAATCTGAAAATTTTTTGACAGCTTTATCAATAATCACGGGAGAAAATCCACGGTTAATCGCAACTGCTCTCAAATAATTAAGTTCATTGGTAAGCAAAGATTCAGAGGAACAAACTTTTAGTGTGCGGAAAACATAATAGTAAAAAGAAGCCATTTTTTGCTTAACAGGGTGGCATGACTTGGCATGGGGTGGTAAACAAACTGCAAAGGGTTTACGGTACACAGTGGTGCTAAAATCGGTTTCATTGCGGATTATAAGAATATCGAGGAAGGGGAGGGAATTGTTGGATTCAATTTCAAGAGTGAATTGGATGGCTGGATCAATTGAATTCATAATAGATAGAATCTCGGATAAATCCTCTTTATAACCGTCAAAAAGTGCGAAAGTGTCGTCAACATACCGAATCCAAAGACGAAAAGATAATTTATCAAATAATTTCATCTCAAAATAGTGCATATAATGTCAGCAAGTACCGGACTGAGAGGATTACCCATAGCCAATCCTTCAACTTGACGAAAATATGCATTTTGGAAAACAAAGTGGGTTTGACTTAGAGAAACTTTAGTAAGCGAAACCAACTCATTAATTTCAGTATGTGTGAAGTGAAATTCCCGAAGCCTAGTTTCAAGACAATTTAGTGCTCCTTCGACCGGAACATTAGTAAACAATGATTTGACATCAAATGAAACCATAATGGAACGAAGTGGGGAAATATTTTTAAGTTTATCAATGACTTCAACAGAATTTTTTACAGTGTGAATATTGTTATCAAGTAGAGGAGAAAATCTGGAAACTAAATATTTGGCCAAAGGATATGAAGCAGTACCTATAAATTTCTGAAATTTGAAGTTCAGATTTTGAGCGTAATGTGCATTTGCCCCTCGCTTCCTATTTTAACTTCGATAATATTTCTTTATGCTTGATCAGACAGCCTGGCTCAGTAAAAGTAGGCGGCCAGTGCAACTCTGATTAAAAATCTAGTTATAACGACGTGCAGTGCTGATAAGCACCACGTGTTTCTGTGATTCCTATTTTCTTCTTTCTATGTATTTCTTTCTCCTGATGAGGAGGGACCTTTAGCTGCCCTCGAAATCGATTGAGTGTTTCATTATACCTACACTAAATATAAGGTTGTTTTTCACGGTTTTGATTGTCACATTAGCGTGTTTCTCTTCTAGTCTACTTTCTGAATTGTATCGTGTCTTCAATACACAACTCCCGGAGCAGGGTATTACGAAGGCATCATGAATTTCTCGTCGTTTGACCCAATTTCTGGTCCAAACGATTTTTTTTCCCCCCTTCTGTAGCAGTAGCTAAGTTCAAAATTGTAGCTGTATCCTATAGAAGCAATTTAAAATAGTCATCCATTATTTTGACTATTTGACAACACCGTAAGCTTTGTTTTATTCATTTATGTGAGATTTCAGTCACTCAAATGATTTAACTTTTTCTACTTCTTTCTGATTATCCATGCCACTCTTAAAATGTATTCACAAGACAACTCATGCTGCCAAAGTAGGCGACTTATAATGGTACCAAAATGTATTTATGTGATAGCTCGGGTATGTGTGCATGCTGCAAATGAGTGCATATTTCCACTTTCAAATTCGATATTTTAATCAGCTGTTTAATCAGTTTTAAAATTTCTAATCAGCTGTTAAATATTTCTTCAATGAATGTATTTCTTGGTATCAGGTATTAAATATTTCTTACTCGTACACTATTTCATAAATGTTCATACAAAAATTGAATAATTTGTATAGTAACTGGTTTCCATACTTAGTGCAGCAATCTGAGCCCACTTGATCATTTCATCTATAAATAAGTTGAAAATTAAAATCCAGTACTTCTATCTTTGAGTTGGGAGAGTTTAAAGCATTTGAATGTAGATCACATTATAATAATGGGGACTGTGTATAATATTTCTTTCTTAGGCTACTTTTCCACCAGTTACATCTTTTACATTTATTTTTTGCTAGTTTAATGAACATCTTTAGTGTTTAATTATTATTATTATTATTTCAGTTGTAGTAGAGATAAAGTTGTTCTGCTATGGGATTTATGCAATTTTAAACTCTTGAAAACTATTCCAGTGTATGAGGTAAGAAGTTAAATATTTTCAAGTTTTGAAAACTACATTAATTTAGTATTCCAAATTATTTAATTGTTATTTTTATTTTGTTTTTAAGACGGTTGAAGCTTGCATTCTTCTTCCACAAAATGTGTCTTTGCCAGATGTTACATTTAATGACGAAGATATTTATTTTATTACTGCTGGTGACAAAGGCAAGATAATTTTTTTCATTGTAATTCAGTCTCTTATGTTTTATCTGAATTGTATTATCAATTTGTGCTAATCAGTTGCTGTAATAACACAATGCAATGAAAAGTGTACTCAATCTTTATGCAGTTCATAAAGTTTCAAAAGCATTTACTACTCAAACATAAGTTGTAGTTGAAATCATCTTCCTGTTACCGATTTTACTTCGAATCTCAGCAAATAGAGCAAAATATGTTCAGATTTTTATGTTTTATTAGAAATAGTATATGCAGTCAATAATTAAACAGTTATTTATAATATTCAAAAATCAGTAATGATACAGTATGCAATTCACTTTTATATATTTTTTAAGTGGTGCCTCAAAAATTAATTATTGTTGAAGCATAGTGAAGGTCTGTTAATTAAAATGATGAGAGTTTTTTTACCATGCTTCGAAGCATTCGTAATGTATATGGCTGAGCAGTTCAGAAAAATGGTCCATTTAAAGCTCACTCCTGATTTTCTGTAAAATTTAAAGGAATTCAAATTTAATGAAATTAAAAATTTAATAGATTGTTAATTAATTGAACCATTTTCATATATGCATTCTTAATTATTTGTTTTTATTTTCATATTTAACAATAACATTTTATTGCACCATCTAAGAAATAACTAACTAAAAGTGATAGATTTCATACTAAACCATTAATTGAAAATCTCTTTCACCCACAATGACTAAGCATTTATTGGGAGGTGGTTGGACTTGTTAGACATGTCACAGTTTCTACCAAATTGTCAAGAGCTCATTACAAAAGTTGAACATGTGGAAAAGAAAACATTTGCACTATCTTTTTATGTCTTTTCAGTATCAAGTGGGAGCTTACTAGAATGGTATTTCTATTAATTAATTTATTGAGTGAATGGCTTGATGTACAAAAATGCAGTTTAGTTTCTTTCCAAAAAATGTTTTGCTAATGAAAGATGTATTGTTCTTTATATCAAATTGATCAAAGAAATGATGCAATACTGAATGTCTCAGTATGATCCCATTGTATTGGATTTTTCTCTTCCTAGTTATACATTGCACATATTATTATTGATTATTATTAAATAAATAGAACTGCATGTATTATTATTCATTATGTAAAGTAAAATTTTTACTGACCTTTCAAAGGTTTTCAAGCTTTTTGAACTTCAAATTAGTTTGAAGAAAATATGACAAGTTTTTTTGTTTCTGGGAAAACACAGTGCAGTACAAAGTCCTAAATTTGGACGTCCATTATCTGGAATGATCTATAATCCGGACCTCAAAGCCACAAACTTACACATGTGCGTTTGATGCGCGCGGCCACTACGCATATGCGTAAAGCCAGTAAAGCATTTACATTTGTGTATTGTATATTTTTAATTGTATAATTTCTGCATGCCATCTTACCAGATTTAAATTGATGATCTATAATCCGGAAAAACCCCTAATTCGGAATCGCCGAAGTCCCGACGAGTCCAGACTACGGACTTTGTACTGTATCAGTTAAAATTAGATGTTATATCCTCATTGGTAGTTCAGGGGAAAAGAGAAAATAAATGAGCAATATTTATATGCCAAATTAGTACTTCCAGTAAGAGAATATTTGATTCTCACTCATGTAAATTCGTATGGAAAAAGGAAGACACAAATCCACCGAATAGAGATTAGCCAACACTGTTGCGTGTTGCCGACCTTTGAATTAATTCTGTTGCCCTCATCTCTTACAACAGTGTCATTTCCCAAATAATGTCAATGAAAAGTATTTAAAGTGTGGCTATCGAAATAACGAACCTAAGAAACACATTTCTTCTATTTAAAAAATTTCGTATCTTCTTATCCTTTTATGAAAAGGATCCATTCCCCCCTTCTTATGTACAGCATTTCAGCAACTTGATATATTCGTTTATGTTAATCATTTTGTATTTTTGGGCAGAACAGTTTCTCATGTACTTTTTCTAAAAACTGTGATGCACAAAATCTTGTTGCCACCAATTTTGCCCCAAATCCTGCATAATTGTAGAGGATTTTAAAGTGAATGTATGTGTGAAAAGGAAACACATACCTGACAAAAATCGAGGGTAAAGTTCTTAACCTTATTCACATTACTTAAATTCTTTCTATCGAAGGAAGTGATGGTAAATTGGCTGTTGGCATGTTCAGTTATATAACTAATAGCCAGAAGCTCTGAGTTAGAATTCAGCAGCTAATAATATATTATTTTTTTGCTTCCTCTGTTTCTTTCCTTCTTCTTCTTCTTTTTTTTTTTTAAGCTTACTGTTTAAAATTTTTCTAAATATTTTTTTTTTTTGAAATTATTCATAAAAATCATTTTTAAGAAAATACCATAAAATTATCAACCACTGCACAACCACACTAGATTTTGATCTATGCCCATGTGGCTGATATCGTATGTCATGCAATAAAGGGAAAAAATGCATTTTTGGAAGTGATTTGTCGCTGCTTACATTCCAATTATATCCCACAATTATATTTTGTATTTTTTAAAATTGCTAAGAGATCGTGCTTACTAGTCCTGCTTTCTACGCAGTTTTTATAATGAGAATTCCTGCCTTGAATGGTAAACATTGTCATTTTGTTTAATTTTTGTTACATGTGAAAGTAGGCTTTACGTTGTCTAACATAGAAAATGCAACATCATGAGAGATTTGGCCATATAAATATGAAAATTTCGGAGAATGTGTAGTGGATCAAGTTATGTAAATTATGTAAAATGCAAGTTGCTCACATGATTGTAGCAGAGGATAAAAGGGAAGGAAACATCTGATGAACCAACTGTTAGTTATTATCTGCTGCTCGGGGAATTCAGAATTTTGAGAAGTTTAGTGTTCCAGAAAATACATTGAATGAAGAGATGTCTGGATAATGAAACCGTAGGCGGTTATGGCAAATGGACAGTTTCATGAGGTATCAGATTGTAGGCTTACATACAGCTGGTTGGTCTTTATCCATTGTGCATAGAAGTTGGTCTAGATAGATTGACGAGGGAAATATAATTAGTTGGGAAAAGCAAAGTCCATTTAGGTATGCTATAAAATGGACATATCAACACATATGAAGAGAAGTCGTGGTGGCACCACAGTTCAGTACATTCGACATTTTGCGAAATGTGCAGGGAGCTTTGAATGCTCCAAAGTCTGTGAGAAAAGATTCCCAAATTTGGCTGAAAATGGCTCGCACACAAGCCAGCCTTTGCAAACACTGCCATTAACACCAAGCCATCAATGTGACTCTGTGATGATATCCACAGTGAGCAACTTGGACATCTGTATAGCACGATATGGTATTCAGCAACGATTTTCAATTTTGTTAATCTGATGATAGTCACCAGTTAAGAGTCTGGAGACTTTGGGGCGGGGGTAGAGCCAATCTGACTACTGTTGCTGAATGCCATACTGCTCATCAACATAGCATAATGATTTGGGGTGTCATCAGCCATGTTAGCAGGTCACCCTGGGTACGCATCAGAGGCATATTGACAGTTTGACGATATGTTGAATAAGTGCTGCAGCTGGTTGTGCTATCTAACCTTCAGCATGGACATTACATTCACCTAATCTTTCATGGTGTTGCATTTTCAGGTAGTGTATGATGGATTCAGAGTGTAGGTTCAAGGGCAGTGAATAACATGAGCAAGTTTTTTTTGGGGGGGGACAATGTAAGCATTAAAATAATCTGCAATAAATGATTTCAGTGTGGTTTTTCTGCTGTACCAAAAAATGTTAAAGCTGTTTTCATGGTAACATTGAAAAACTTGATTTCCAGAACATTTTTTGTGTATCTTTAAAAATTCTTTTATGCAGATATTAATCTTAAATATCCCCAAACAATAAGTTTGATACATACAGCATTGCAAAATATTAAAAAAAAATTTTAATTTGCAAGTATTGCATGAAAACTGACGATCAGTAAACAGGATATCGCACACACTACCCAACGTTAAAAATGTAATACCAAAAAGGAGTGGCCCAAAAATTATGCAAATTTCAGGGTATATGCATGTCACTGAGTTATGTGAATGATATGAAATACGTAGGTCCCAGTGCACGTTGAAGAAGATATAAGGGAAAAAGCCTGCAGAACGCTAAATTTTTGTGCCATTATTTCTGCTTGGGAAATGATCATAGAAAATTTGTTCTTGTGTCCAAGGTTGCATGTAGCAGAGAATGCCAGGCCATCATCAATGGAGGCAGTTCCAGCAGACAGATAATTTTATGAGGGATTGGACTGAGAAGGGCAGGTTGGTTCCTATGGCAAATCTCAACTGACCCACATCTGGGCGTCCCCACAGTGCACTGGCTGTGCTGAAGATGGTTGGAACAAGGAAATATGGAAAGTTCAAGGGGTGCCAGTGCAGCCAAAGTGACGTCAGCATGTGTGGATCGACGCATTTGGCAACAAGCAGTGACACAGCAGCAAGTCACTTCTATGTACATTCTGCAGTATATTCAAGACACCCTGGATGTTCTCATATTGACCAGTTCTCAATTGCCCTCAAATGGTGGCTAGTGGTGTCCGTTAAGAAGACTGTCATTGAATGCACAACATAGACGCCAAAGTTTGCAATGGTTCCGCGCTCAAGCAATGGGAACGACGGAATGGCACAGGGTTTTGTTCTCATTTATCTGAGAACAAAACCGATCAAAACCTGAGTCATACTTCTTTTTCTCCAACAATAATCGCCGCGTACGAGTGTGGCGTTGATGTGGAGACAAATCCAATTTGACGGCAATCGTGGAATGCCCCACCGCACGATAGCGCAGCATCATGGTTTGGGGCGCAGTTGCGCACAATTTCAGGTCACCTCTAGTTTGTATTCAGGGCACTATGATTGCCCAATGATACGTGGATGATATGCTGCAGCTGGTAACACTCTTCTACCTTCAGGAAGTACCCCAGTGCCCTTCATCAGCAGGATAACTCCCGACCACACACTGCTGGGATCAGCCAACGTGCTGTGCAAGTTGTACAGATGCTTTCTTGGCCATTGTTCTCTCCTGATCTCTCACCAATCGAACACATTTGGGATGTGATTGGACGCCATTTGCAGACCCTGTCATTGCCGCATACAGAAGACAAACTGTGACAAATGGTTGACAGGGAATGGAGAGCCTGTCCTCGGGATACCAGCTGTAGTCTCATTGACTTACGTTACTTAATATACTATACTTAATTAGGTAATATTACTATGGTGATATATTAAGTATGTACTTAATTACTACTGAGCCAACGCTGTTCTCGCTTTATATTATGCATATCATTTCAAAATAAAGATCACTTATTGCTTGTTGCTGTCTCTGTCTGTTTGCTGAGTTTCATCACTTTCTGGCCACTCCTTGGTGTTAAGATTGTCAATGTTGGGCAGTGTATATGACTACCAGTAGGTTAAGTAAAAAACTGCTAACTGACGAAAATGTTTTACATTTTTGAATCCAGGGTAGAGCATATTTTAATTTTCAGCATTTAAAAAATACTTTTTTCAGTTTGGAATCTGACCAAGAAGGGGTTAATAAGAGTGCTGTTTATTCTTGAAATTCTTAAAAATTGCTTTCCAAAGGAATTGTAAATTGTGAAAATGGTCATTTATTCAGTGTGGCTAATATCAGTATTTTATATATTATCAATCAGCCATATTTAAATTTCTGCAAATGTACAATAAGCTACCACAAAATAAGTTAAAAATTTATTTTTGAGCAAAATTTTTTAGTTTCTATTTTTTTTAATTGCTTTTCTGTAAAATTGTTTCATGCTTAAATGTATAAATTTTCTACCAGAATAAATTGCAATTAAAAAAATTAAAAACTCTCATACAAAAATTATGCTGGCTAACACTAGATTCAAACTGAGAATTTCTATTAGTAACTGTGCACATTAACAGCTAGGCTATTGGTGCTTGCTGCAAAAGAAATAATGTAAATGGTATTTTGAACTTCACCATAATTTTGAGCACTGCATGTTGACTTGAATATCCTGACTTGAATGTCCAATTTGGGCTCAATGAAGTTGCGTTTCATTTGTGTAAATAAATATGAATTAGGAAGGTCTTTTCTATAAGTTGGTTATTTATATGGCAAATAATGCCTGTGAGTAGATCTTTAAATTATTTATATCTTGTGTTATTTTCTATTCGTAATACTTTTATAACTTCATTATATATGAAGAGAAGTAATTTAAACTGATTTATAAAAACTATCTGAATTTAATTAGGTATTATATCAAGGTTGCCACGCTACCTGGAAAACCACAAAAAGTCAGAGAATTCAAAAATTGACCCAAAATATTTAGGGAAAAGTCAGAGAATTTAAATACTGTAGTCAAAATCTAGAAAAGTCAGGGTATTTCATATGGCAATCCCTAAAAAAAAAAATTGTGAGTTTTGCGCTGATGTTGGAATCGATCACTTTCTTGGCGAATTATGTATTGCGTTAGCGTTATTTGGCCAGCTGGCATTTTAAAGCCAATTTTCGCATCTCCAATTAGATTGTCTTTTAGAAAGGCAAAGCAAGTTTCCAGCAACTTTGGTTTTCAGTAACCTCGAAAATCAAAAAGACTTGCATGCACATGTGCAGTACATGTTGAACTAAAGAAAATACGTATTCTCATATAAAACAATTGGTTTAATCCTAGTATATGGTACTATGGAGGTTAGAATAGCCTCCATGTATTATATTCTATCCTCCATGTAAGGTACACATGGGATTAGATGACATTTTTGATTAGCAGTAACTGGGTCATTTTGGTGTTGACATCAGTTTTCAAAATAGTGCCAAGGCCGTAGCAGGGTACTAGGATTTTACCGTAAAGTATTTTAAACCTTTTTCTTTTTAATAAATGCTTTATTTGTCACTTTGTAGTAAAGTAAAAAAATAGTATAATAATTAAATTTTTAAGTAATTATTATTTTAATGTTATTTGTATCATTTAATGTAGCTTCTTCTCTCTAAATTTATTTATTATTAGTAAATAATACTTTCGAATTTCAGGAAATTTTTTCTGGCATAATGCTGAAACTAATTCCAGCAGTATGATGTCATACCATCAGTAAATTTAATGCACATATTTTTTACTTATGTAACATTTTAAAATCCAGATTGGGCAGATTTTAATCTCAATCTTCAGTGGCGAAAACAACTCCTATTATAGTTAGAATAGTAATGCCTTGGGGATTATATATTATATATACATATAAGTAATATGTAATTGGCAAATTTTAGTGTTTTCAAGTAATACCATACTTAATTTACCTCTTAGTGCAGCCAACATGCATTATGTGAAAAGACTGGAATTTTTTTAAAACACACCTGGAAAACCAGGAAAAGTCAGGGAATTTCATTTTCCTGTTTGAGTGTCAACTCTCTATACTCTTAAGAATGAATTTCATAAAATTTTTCGTAATTTTTTCCACTCCCTTCTTTTGTTGTTTTATTATTAAAAGGATCCTGGCATTTCTTATATTTTTGAAGTTTGTTTTCTAATAATTTTAAAATCATTTTTCCATTTTCAGGAATTTTGAGAATCTGGAGTACATTATCTGGAAAATGTATATTCTCTCAAGCAGATTCTCCAGTTATCCTTCCTGAAAATTCTGAATATGCAGGATCATTAATAACACAAGCCACATATATCCCAGCTTTGGATGCAATTGGGATTACTACATTTGAACATAACATTCTTATATTCAGCATAGACAAATTTACTTTAAAGAAACAGGTAAGTGGTTCTAAGTAATTGTAGTGATTTCACAAATTTCAAATTTGCTTCATTTCAAGTGTGTGTAATTCTTATCATATCTTTTCAGAATAGCTTCTAGCTAAGAGTAATACACATAATTCATGAATTAGTGATCCATGACTACAGTTTTTCACACGTGACAGTGGAACATTTATGTAAGACAAGCAGTTGGTCATTACAGACCAGAGTTTTCTTTCCCACTAATTAAAACATAATCAAACATTCTCTGCATATATTGCCATCTATACATAATAATTTTCTACACTTTCTTTCCTCTGGGATGACCTGTGTTCATCATACCTCAAATTTTCTTACATTCTCGTAACAAATTAATAATTTTCTAATTATATAAATCTAATAAATTTTAAAGCTTAATCTGATAATTAGAAAATTATGCACATTTTTGTTAAATATCTTGAATTTAAATTTTGCAAATTACTATTATAAGTATAAAAGCACTACATTAATTTACATGTAATACAAAATTATAATCTTCAATGACTCTACGAATCTAAGTTTCTGTGAAATCTTTAAAGTGTATACATGATTTCCATTCTAACCCACAGAAAATGAGGCTTGTAGAATTCACACTAGTCAACAGATCATGAGTGAGGGTTTCAGATTTATTGTTTGGAAATCTTATAGCTGGGTCAAGAATTTCCTTTTTAACCATTTAAGTCTTTCTAGACATTAAGGAGACTTTAAATTTAATATTATGAAATCCTTAAGTTGGTGTCCAAGATTTCCACAGTAGTCCATAAATATGACACAGTTTCAGCTTTAATATTGCAAAATCATAGGTCCTTCCCCATTAGCGGGCACTTAGCTGACTCAAAATCCTATGAAATGAGATCCTAAAAATGAGTTACATCCAGGATTTTCAGGAAAGCCTACTGATTGTTTAAATATGCATTTTACATACTTAAACTGCATTTTGTTTTGCATGAAGAATGTGGGGCTGTTATTCGAGTTTTGCTAGGGGCAGTGAAGCATTAGAAGTTTCAAATTCTACAGCAAAATAAACTGAAGATTTAAGCATTGTATTTAAACCAGGTTTCTCAGATTTTTATTTTTACATTTATTTAACAATACCTTTTACAGTAATTAAATCAGACTTTTACTTTTTTTATTTTCAAATTTTTCCCATATACTGTTCATTAACTAGAGAATAAAGATTTATTTCGTAATTAGGTATAGAGTTTTATTCAGAAAAAAATTGCTTTGAGTAGTTAGAACTTCAATGGAGCTACCAGATAACAATCCTGAATGTTGTATTCTAAAATTGTAAAACACAGAAAAACTTGAAACACCAAATACATTTAAAAATAGTATTTACTATTAAAATTAGAGTTTCTACGAAAAAAAAGGGAGGCAGTTCAGCCAGCGAGCAGGAAGACAAAATTTTTGGTGCACAGAATTGAAAGTTAACTTTTGGCCGCACTGGGCAAAAGAACTTGGTGCCTCAACTGGCTTAATTCGTTATTCTTCTAAGAGCTTCAAGTGTAAAAAAATGGCAGTCTCATTAGGCTTAGCACCACTTAAACTTTTTAAATCTTGATAATTCTCCAAATATTGATTCAGGTTAATTAAAGGCATAACAACCTTAAATGGAACATAAAAACCATATAATTCAGTCACTTTTAAAGTAAAAAATGCACAATTTACCAACATATCAAAATAACAAACTGATTGGCAATATATACCAATAAATTGATATAAGATTGGAAATATAATAATTTAAAAAATTACAAAATAATTTTTAAAATTTCTTACTATATATAGTAAGAAATTGTATAAAATATATGTATAGACACGTACGTTTGATGCAGCCGATTGGAATTAAAAAAGGGGAGATGCATAGCTACACGTTATAGCAATCCCATATGAAAAATATTGTTCATCTTACAAGTACTCATAGTTTTTTAGGTATACAAGATACATATGTACGTACAGGCGTCATGGAAAAATTTCTTCTGAATCCTTGTTGGAAAAAAAAAAAATAGTCCTTTATTTTGTCCTTACATACAAATGTTATGCAAAAATATCATTCAAATGGATTGGAGGGTTTTCAAAATGGATATTTTTGTTGAAATACAATATCCAAAATATTTTGCGATTACAATGCTTCCTTTACTTTGTACAAGGAAGCAAAAAGGTACAGCCTATGGCAGCTGTTGCCGGTTGGACTTTAATCAGTGTACTTGTCAATGTGTGCTTTGCTTTCATCCGTATGGGCATGTTTTCCATGAGCAACGATCAAAGTTTTTTTTTTTTTTTCTGTGTGTGTGTGTGCGTGGGGGGGGGAGAGTAGGCTTTCTGTCATGTGCAAATGCAAATTATTATATTGGCCATTATCTAGTTACTGAGGTAATTTTAAAGAAATGCATCTAATTAAGCCATGCTTTGTTTGAAATATATTAACCGATGTGATGAAGGCATTCAGGCCTTTACTACCATTCATTTCCTGTTTGTGGAATTATCCCAATAAATCCAAGGATAAGGGAATGGTCAGTCAGTGACACCATTTCGACTCTAGGTAGTCTGACTGCTGGCAGTTTTGTTTTGGCAAATTGTTTCCTTTGCGTACGCAAGGGAAACAATTTGCCAAAACAAATTAGAAAACACGTGCACACTAGAAAGCGTGCTTTCTAGTGTCTTTGTGAGGTGGGTGAGATCTCTTTGGTGGCGCAGTCAACAGCAATCCCCTCCTTATGGATATTTCTAACTGAGTGTATTTTTACACCTAGTGATGGGAGAGGGAATTTGGCGTTCAGGTGTTCCTTTAGTTACTTTCCTTGTGGCGTTCGAGTCTTCTTTTGGGTAAATAAGAAGTGTGTGTTTCGTAGAATGTGATGCCACTTGCGCGTAGGAACGCTCGATAACCGGAGCTGCTGCTGGGTGTATTGTTGTTGTTGAGGTGGAGAGTAGGAGAGTCCTGAATCAGTATTAACACCTGTGTTGGTTTTAGCTGGAGGTGGAGTGGCAGCAGGTCCTCTGGTGGCTAGAGTCCGGAAGGCCTCTAAAATGGCCAATAGTTTCTTTCTTTGCTCTGTCGGTAACAGGTACTTGTTACTTTTTGTACTGGTGCCAATGTCTTTGGCTTTCTCGTAGAGTGTATTAATCTTTTGTTCGTAATTAAGACTTTCAGTTACTACGATTGTTGCTGCGTCGAATTTGCAAAGGCGCACTGACGCTTCTGCATCAGGCATAGTGCTGGTTTGTGCTGGAAGGAATATGGGTGATGATGAAGTTGAGTATAGCAATCAAGGGGTATTTTGGTGTATTTACCAGTGTAGAAATGCTGCTAGATAAGTTGCATGTAAGTCGTATGAGTATACATAAGCACTGGTCGTACACTGCTCAATCAGGATAGTGGGAATACTCTGCTCAATCTGGGAAAGTGACAAGTAATGCAAGTAATACTCTGCTCAATCAAATATGACAGGTAACACACTGCTCAATTAATACTGTAGCAGTAGAGCTGTACACTTCTTAATTAGTAAAGATCAATTAAAAGTCTATGGACCGTATAATAAAGGTATAGAACATGATATCACACAGAATACAAGCACTGAAACTATTCTCTGTATAAAAATTAAATCAATCAAATTATTATTATTAGCTAGAAGTATATAACACAAAATATCAGCATAAATACTTAATTATTTAAATTATTGTAAGTCAGAATTATATAATTATACAACACATTAGGGGGGAAAACTTGATTAATTAAATTTTTGTAAGCTAGAAATACATTACGCAAGATACTAGCACTTACTGATATATAAACACTCACAGATATAAGTATGGTTAAATGTAAAAACAGGAAAATATAAAATATACAAGACAACTCAAATATACGATCACTGAATCAAATATGACTGAATTAAATATGACAAATACTCTACTCAATCAAATATGACAAGGTAACACACTGCTCAATTAATAAAGTAGCAGTAGTGCTGTACACTGCTTAATTAGTAAAGATCAATGAATAAGTCTATGGGCCGCATAATAAAGTTATAGAACATAATATCACACAGAATACAAGCACTGAAACTATTCTCTGTATAAAAACTAAATCAATTAAATTATTATTATTAGCTAGAAGTATATAACACAAAATATCAGCATAAATACTTAATTAGTTAAATTATTGTAAGTCAGAATTATATAATTATACAACACACATTAAGGGAAAAAAACTTAATTAATTAATTATTATTTTTTTTTTTTTAAGCTAGAAATATATTACACAAGATACTAGCACTTACTGATATATAAACACTCACAAATATAAGTATAGTTAAATGTATAAAACAGGAAAATATACAAGATACGATCACTGAAACGAATCCTTGCAAAACTGCTAATATTTAGGAGGGGTGGTATACAGGATTAAGGAATGAATACGCAGCTAATTTACCAGCTCCTAATTGAACGCACAAAATCATAAGTTTTAAACAGCTATTATTACCCTGATGCTGTTTAGGTGACTGCTATTGTGAAAATGTAATGCAATCTTAATTATTGCTTGTAGGCCGGATAATTAAAACAATCCTACCTTGATTGCAGGGCTTCTTCTGCGCTTCCTTTGTTCTCTATGAAGTAAACACAATATTATTTACTAAGCACTAATAATGCTGAGTACTACACACACACTGTAGAACACTGTATTCGCACAACACTATCATTGTATCACTAATTAGCTCACACTACTACGTTAATTGTTGGTTTCAGCTGAGAAAACCAACGGAAAGTTTAAAGAACTAGCGAGAAAAGTTATAGAAAACGTACAATCCGGCAGACTTTTCCAAATTCTGAGTCTTAAGTTCCTGATTCGTACTGCTACGTCACACTGCTATGTGGATTGCTCTTTTCAGCTGGGAAATCCTTGGTCGTTTATCTTCTATGTATTTCATCTGTTGAATTAGGTAATCCAAAAGCGAAGGCACAACACAATTAGAACAGATCACTAT